AAGCACTGTTACTAACAAATATGAATTCACCAAAAGAAATATTACATGTGTATTCATCAATTCTATTTCAAAAGCATCACTAATAAGAATTGGAAATTTATAAAAAAAATATAATTTTAATTGCTTTTGACATTAATATTATTTTTATTTTCTTTTATCACACATAAGTTGATCAAATACTTTCACTTCATTGTAAAGCACTCACGATTAAGTTTCTCAATTATTTTGTTAATATTTTTGTCGCATCAAAAGCAATGATTTAAATTTTATGATGAAGTGTGTTGTATAAGTCTTCTTATAAATTTTTACAAAATATTATCTCTACTTAATTAAACATATTTTCTAAGAAAATTTACCTTATCATCATTTAAAACCAAATCTACATGCATACGACAAAACTTATGACACAATAAAATTTTAAAATAAATTGAACACAAAAATTATCAAAAAATACATTATAAAGATAAATTTATTCAATAATATTATATAATGATTAAATTACATAAATTTATTCAAATTTCTTAGATCAGATGAGATTCATCACAAATAAACTTCATGATATTAAAAAAATTTATAATTCAAATAATATTATAAAGGTAAACTAATAATAACAAGAACATTCGTACATGTTTTAATTTTTATCATTTCATTAATAAATTAAAAGTGATTTCTTGGTTCCAGAGATGGTGGAATGGCGTTGCATGGTTTGTTGGTTTAGGCTATGAGTTATTGTGCTCTTGTAAAGGTTTTATGCTATAAATGAAAATGTCTCTATTAAATGTCCTGTTGGAAGTGCTGTTATGAAGGGGTATGTTTTCCTTGTATTTCTTTTCTCCCATTCTAAATTCGTACTCTACTGTTCAGACTCAGTCAGTGCCTTCTGAAAATGAAATTAACACCTCATTATTCAGAAAACATAAACAACGGGCAGCGAAGCCAAAAGAGAATGATGCAGAGATCCTTTGGAGACTCTCAGTAGTTTTTAGGATTTTCCAGTCCCCTCCATCGACTCATCTGCATGAATATTTTTTTTATCAAAGCAAGTTTTCTAACATCATCGCCCTCAAGTTCATTGTTACACGAATGATGCTTTTGATTCATGTAATGCTTTTGATTTCCTACCATATTTTGTTGATGTTTTGATGTTTTGTCATAATTGATTCATTCTACTTTAATGGTATGATAATTGTCCCTGTCCTTTTTATAGTTGCCGAAGGTTGAAATGCTTTTAAAATATTTTGGCTTAATTACAATTTTAGTCTCCCTAGTTTGACACTTATTTGATTTCGGTTCTCTATTTTTTTATTGTGCAACTTTGGTCCTTTTATTTTGGCACTTGTTTAAATTTGATCCCCCAGCATGTAATTGCACAATTTTGGTCACTTTAGTTTATCATTTATTTGACTTTTGTCCCCTAGCTTCCAATTGTGCAATTTTAGTCTTCGAATGTTTTTTAGTTTGCATTTATTAACCCATCATTCAACTTTCAAGAGAGTGGTGAGGTGGTTATTAATTATATTGAAGTGTTCTTGTTCCTGTTGCTGTTAAATATGTTGATGTGTTTATGCAGTTAAGTAGATTTATGTGTCTATATTCAAAAAAGGAAAACTTTATAGAGAAATTCATTAGGGAGAATGAAATCAATACAAAGAATCATAGAGAATTTGAACAAGAAAATCAGAGGGCAAACTACTGATCAACATTACTGCACATTATCATGAGACAATATTTTCAACCAGGCCAGTAGAACAAAGAGATGTCCATTAGCATAAAGAACATCCACTTCATCACTTTTGTGGAAATTTAAATGACCAGTTAATGGATTTTAAAACTAAGGTAGGACCAAAATCTCACAATTGAAAATTAGAGAACCAAAATTGCATAAGTGTTAAACTAGTGGGACTAAAATCGTACCAATTACAAGTTGAGGAATCCAAATCATACAAGTACTAAATTAAGGGACCAAAATCACACAAGAAAAAAATTGGGGGACAAAAATTGTAATTAAGTCAAACATTTTTGTACTGAGGAGGGTAGTGGTGTAATCAATTTGTTAAGGATCAAATAATTATTTTTATTTTCAAATCTAACTACATCATTTTAGTGCTTGATTTGTTCAATAACAATAAGTCAAATTCTGAAAAGAAAATAACTAGTGTCAATAAATAACGCATGTGATTGAGAAATTTTTTTTTTTCTAAGTTATAAAAGCCTTTATTACTTTTTTTTGGTAAGGAATAAACTATGTCTTTCGACTAAAATTAAAAAACTATATGTTCCTACGCTTTGATGAGTCATGAACCTGTAAAAATATCTAAATTCTAAAATCTTGTTAGAAGAATCACTTTTCAACACATTTTTATGAAGATTAGCATAAGAGTCTCATCATTGTTGAAAAGAAGGCTATATTTTGAGGATTTTTAAATGGTCGTAAGTAAGGATGTCAAAATGGGCCAACAATCCCACCTTGCCAAAAGCCCGCCTAAAAATAGGTTAGACCGAGCCCGTCACATTTAGAAAATGGGCCAATTTTTCTAGCCCGACCCATTTAAGAGTGGGCTGGCGGGCTAATGGGTCAGCTCACAAAAAATAAAAAAATAAAAAAATGTTAGTGGACCATTGAATTAATGGGCTAACCCACCAAAAGTTATCCAAAAAAATAAAAAGTTACAATAAATAATGTAAAAATATTTTTATATGAATAAAAACTAATATTTTATTATTTTTTAATTATTTTTTATTTCTTAAAAATAAAATTTGGGCCTGATAGGCCAACTCGTCCCAGCCTACCATTGGCCCTCATTTTAGCGGGCTAGGCAGGCAGGTATATCCACAACATTCAGCTCGGGCCATCAATTTTAGTGGGTTAGACGGGCTGGCCTATCGAGTTGGGCCCAATTTTCCACCTCTAGTCATAAGTAGAGCCTTATTCTTTGTTGAGAAGGAGGCTACATTTTGATAAGTTTTGAAGAGTCGTGAGAAGAGCCCTAATTTTTGTCAAGAAGAAGGTTACTTTTTGAAGAGTTTTAGAAATTTTTGAGTCCTAGATGAAAAACATACAAAACTAGTCAAAAAGAGGGTCTTCGGCAAATTGGGTTGAAAAGGTCAAAAAAAGAAATTATAAAGGGAAATTGCCTTAAGTCTACGAGATAAGATAAAGCTCAAAGATTTCTCCTAAAACTTGTCAAAAAAGGAGTTGACAAGGAAAATTATTATAAATCCACGACAGTCTTTGACATATTTCCTTTAACTCGTCAAAACAATTCCAAGTACTAGAGACAAAATGGAGCTTAAAAGGTGAAGAAACATGTCACAAAAATCACAAGGTTTGAAGTGACTATCAAAGGAGCAATTACCTGCGATTACCACCAGTTGAAGGTCAGAGACATGAAGAACTGATCGTGGACGACAACGGTTATGAAGAAGGCACAATCACGAGCAATTATGGATAAATGGAGGAAGTGGTTGAAGAGAAGCGCACATAGAAGACAGTTACTAAAAAGCTCCTGTAAAAGGAGGAGAGCAGTTAAGATTCATCTATCTATAAATAGTACGAAACTTCACATTCTGGTGAACGACTTTTTGCACCTAACACTACACTTGAAATTCTGCACACACGGTTGTTGTGATTAAAGTTATATGTCTATATTTCTACAATTTTTTTCCAGTTCTTTTGTTTAATTTCTTTTATGCAATTTAGTTCTTTTTTTGTTTGTTTCTGCAAGTTCACTTTTTATTTTGTTTATGTAAACTATATTAAGTTCAGCAGTGCTTTACAACTTTTCTACTACTTTTGTTTTAATTTTTTATTAATACTGTTACTTTCATTATCACATTAATAATACACTTAAAAGAATTTAAAAAAGACATAAAATTCAATTTTAAATTGTTCTTGAATTTATTTTTACCAGTTGTAAATTTTCAACGTAAATAGCAGGCTTTACAGAAACATGGTGAACAACAGTGATTTATAATTGCATTTTAAAATTAGAATTTGTTAACCCACTCATATGATTTCAAAGGGCTGTCCTAACCTACATTATGATCCAGCTCACTCTTTATAACATACATTTTGAGAATGAAAATAAATTATAACATACTGCGATCTTCTATTATAAGAAATAAAATCTTTATATTTGTATTCTAAAATCAGAATTTGCTAACCCACTCATTATTTGAATGGGGTGTCTTGATCCACATTATGATCCAACCTACTCTTTACTTTATAACATACATTTTGACAATGAAAAAAATTATAATGTTACATGAACATGACATAATCATATCTGAATGGAGGACTAGGAACAATCAACAAAGATAATCAGACACGAACGAAAAATAAAATAATTACATAAAAAAATAGATACTGACTAGTTTAGGTTAAAGAATTATTATATATCTTATGCAAAGATTAATTTGGTGAACCTCTATTACTTGGAATAATCCACCTCCTTTAATTGAATGTATAATCAAGCGATATGGAAAAGGGACTATTCACCTCAAGACTAAGGATACCGCCAACCATATTAAATTCATCATAATACATTTTTATTATTGGAGTTAAATAAGTTCAAATTAACATATACTGAAATGCTAAATTTAATTTCATTTGCATATCAATTAATCTCAAATTGAAAGAAATGCTAACACTTGCCTGATTACTTTTGCAAGATTTGGACTCTCATTTATATACATAAAATGTATCATAATATATATATATATATATATATATATATATATATACTTTTGAAGTATATAAAAATAAATACTATTTGATTACCATTTTTATATTTATTTAATTTTAACGAAATTTAATACAGATAATTAAAGAATATACAGTTATAAATGAACAGTTGAATCCATAAAAATTATATTTTATATAAAATTGTAAAAATTGATATAATTTATATCGGTTTAATTTTATCTCTTTCCTTTCTCTCCTTGTTTAACTTCCCAATGTAGTGCAACAAAAAAAAAAAACAAAAAGTGCTCATTGTTTTTTATATTTCCACCTTGCTTAAAATGATATGAGCACCATATTGTGGCTGAAGAGTGATTCCTTGAGCTGGAGCATGAGTATAGGCTGGAGAAAGTTCAAATGAGAAGTGTTGTAAAATCATTGACAAAGCCATTTTTGCTTCCAACATGGAAAAGTTTTGTCCAATGCATTTTCTTGGGCCCCATCCAAAAGGAAAAAATGTAACTTTCCCATTTGTTGCCTTCAAAACTCCTTCAGAAAATCGCTCAGGATTGAACTCCTTTGCATCATCACCCCATAGTTCATAGTTATGGTGAACCCAAATTATTGGTAAATAAAGTTGCACTCTAGCTGGTAATGTTATGTTTCCAAGTTTCACATCTTTGTGAACTGTTCTAGCAAGCCCATCTGCTGGTGGGTATAACCTAAGAACTTCATACAAAATCATGGTCACCTGTGACAATATTTATAGTAAATGTAAGTATAGATTTAATATATTAATATTATTAAATGTTACGGTTTTAATTAAAGCTTATTATATACAGATAATAAACAATTAATTAATAAATTACTTACAATCTTAAGGTGATTCAGGCGAGCAAAATCTGGTTTTTCATTGCCAAAGACTTGAAAAACTTCTTCCCTTGCACGAGCTTGCCAATCAGTGTACCTACTTAGTAACACCATTGTCCAAACAAGCAAAACTGAAGTGGTCTCTTGCCCTGCTAAATAGAATAGCTTGCACTCCTCCATTACATCTTCAAAATTCATTCCAACATTCTTATTGTTTTTATGCTCTTGAATTTCCTTGTAATTTGACTCCAAAAGCACACTTAATAAGTCATTTTTAGTGCCTTGCCCTGACTCAAGTGCTTTCTCTTTCTTGTTAATAATGACCTTAAGCATAGATTTTATATCTCTATCAATTTGCTTCATCCTCCTATTAATGGAAGTGGGCAGAAACCTACAAGTAAACATAATTAGTATCATAATTGTTATTATATGAAAGGAATGCTCTTGGATATAATAAGTATATTTCCAGAGGTAATTCTGTCACCAACAATTAGTTTGACTTTCCAATAGCTAGAATTTTTCTTTGCAACCTTTTTTCCATCTCAATAATTAGTAAATGAGTAGCAATTGAAAATAACAGATTCTTAATGATAAATGTTGGTTGCTAATATTTTATTTGAAACGAAAATTTTTCCTATTAAAGTCAGAGATACACCATTTTCTTATCATAATATCAACTAACCCTCAAATTGGAGGTGGGGCTTACTAGTAGGGTAATAAAGTCCTAACCAAAATGGCAACTCCAGCATAAACTCCAAGTTTTAGGTGAAGTTCCCAAAAAGTGACGGTTCACTTTCACTATGACCAACCACCATTGATTATTACATATAATATATATATAGTTTAATTTGTTAAAAAATTATTAAATTATTAAGATTAATAAAAAAAAAAGTAATTATATGTCAAAAATCTATATTTTCATTAAAAAATATTCATAATATTAATGATCAAATTAGAATTTTATAAATTAAATGAACAAAAGTATCCTTTTATATAGTTAAAAGTTGGATATTTGGTAACACAAATCTCATAATAAATAAAGGTATAAAAAATAATTACAATGAATGCATTTGAAAACGAGTAACTATTTCTTATAATTAGGAAAAATATTAATAATTATTTCCTACAAATAGGATGAAATGTAGTATTTACTCATCATTTTTTACAATATAAAACATATGGTAAGGTTATTTTTGTTAAATAAAAAATCAATCTTACCTCCAGCCAGGGATGTAAACTTGCTTTGTAGCTTTCACTGAAAGTTCAACTTGCTCTTTCTGAAGTTGAAATATTCTTATACCTTCTTCATAACTACTTCCAAATGCTGTTCGTGAAATAACATCACTGGTCATATTTTGAATGAAAGGCCATACATCAATTTCACATGATCCATTTAAAGACATCATTCCCTCCCATTTGGTAATTAGATCATCACAACTTTTGATGAATGCTGGTAACATGTTCTGTGGTAAAATGAATTAGAAAAGAAAAGAGAGGTGTTAATTAAAACTCCTCTTGTTGATATATAAGATCTATATTTAGTAATGAGGAACTCACCTTCAATTTTTCTAAGGAGAATGCAGGGTTGATTATCTTTCTATGCTTGCTCCATTTTTCACCCAGATGGTTTGCAAGACCAGTAGCTAGTAACTTGACAGTTGGATTTATATTAGGCTTTGGAAAATCATTGACCTTGTTAAATACATCTTTAAAAAGATCAGGGTCTGTCAGAATCACCCTTGGTGTTGGTCCAAACCAGATAAAAGAATTTTTGCCTACGTACCATCAAATAATAAAGAGGCTTAGATCAATGTGTAAAGACATGGATTATTAAAAGACATTACACAATGACAAAATGAACAACAATGAGAGTGGGTAGGAAATGCATGCCATGTTTTTTGACACTGTGTTGGAGGTAGGGAAACACACAAGACACTAAATCATCATAATGATTCATGGGTTTGGATTTGGCCTTCTTTTCAATCTCAAGAATCTCCTTTAAATCTCCATCCAAAAGCCTATATGGATTGCCTTGAAGGCCTTGCTCTCTGAGGAGCCTTTCTAGCCTCTTTGGCCCCAGCCATAACCAGTTTAGCACTTTGCATGCCCATATCAGAACAAGTATCAAAATGAAAATCATGCTTGCAGTTGAGGCCTCTAATGTTCCCATTAATGCTTGGCGAGGCAAAGAAAATAGGAGATGTTGATCAAACTAGAGGTTGCTTTCATTCAATTGTTCTCAGTGAAAACTATTATAAGCAACAATTAATTTTTTACTGTTGTCAGGAATAAAATTTTTAAAAATATTTGTATTTAATGCAATCAAATTGTTTGTTTCATAAAGTAGTATGCTTTTCTTTCTTTGGTAATTTGAAATTAAAAATAAGATTTAAATTCATATAGAATTAAATGCTATAAATATTTTGTTGGTCAAACTAACATATTAGATGCAAGCAATCAACTAATTAGTAAAATGAAAAAAGTAAAATTAATTCAGATTTTAAAATTGTATTACTAAGATAAAATTACTATATTTGCCATATAACATTTTGTAAATAAACTATATATATATATATATATATATATTATTTTTGCAATATTATTTTATCTTAATTTTGGTTGACAGATTGATTAGACAGATCTTAGAAAATTATTTTATTAAATTTTTGCGACACTAGTTAAACTTATTAATTATTTGATTTCTTTTCAATAATAATATTGGTTTTACCTTCAAAATATTTATCACATTTTATAAGAAATGAATTTAAATCAAGTTTTAAAAATTGAAATTATAAAAGATACACATTTCATGAAAAAAAAAATATTGCAATAAATACGCTTATTATTTTTAAATTTCTTCCTACCATTATTCAAAGCAATATGGTTTAAAACATGCTTAATAATTTGCATAATTTTTTATTTTAGTTTATGAAAAAGCTTTTAAACAATCTTTTCTAACTTAATTAAGAATATTGACTTTGAGTCTCTAGAATACAACTGTGTGAAGAATCTAAATTAGTGTAAGTCATTTATCATTTACTTGCATATAAAAATTAAATAATTGGAATTTGACCCTTTTGCAACGTAACATAGGCACGCTAGAATTATATTTATTCCTATATATATATATTCCTCAAAGTAATAAGAAAATTACTTATTAAACTGTAACATATATATCAAATACTTATTAAAATAAAGAGTCTATGAAAGTATATTATTTAAAAATATTAATGGAGCTTCTTCGTCACATGTACTTTTTATAATTAAAATTGATTAAAAATAATATATAAATTATAATATTTTTTGTTGTTTTATTTTGCTTTTTATTTCCATCTTTGTTAATTTTGTTTTAAATTTTAAAAATTAAAGTTATTACTTAAATTTTCATTATTACCTTATATAAATTTTTATATTTATTGTGAATATTTATTTTTATATTTATAAAAATTACATGCTTTTTTTCAAATTTAAAGTTTACTTTAAAGAATCTAATCTCTTAGATATATAATTATTTTTTTTGGTATACTTAGATATATAATTATTAATATATATTAATTGATGATATTTAATTTAAAAATTTTATTTGACACTATACGATAAAAATATTATTTTAAATTTTTTTAATTTAATCAAATCTTTATCACTTTAATACGTATTAATTATAGAGTTAAATAAAAATAATTTTTTAAAAAACATTGATTAAAATATTTTAATAATATATATGTATAATTATTAAAATTATATAAGTTTTTATTTTTTTAAAAATTAAATTATATGTATATTTATAAAGAAAATAAAATGCTTGTGGATTACAGAAAGTACTAAACTTTAATTCAAAAATTCATCAAACCAAAAATTAAATAAAAAATAATATACGGCTCAATTTGTATCAATTGTTTTAGATGGAAGAACAATATCCCAAAAATCAAAACGAGAGTGTTGAAAAAAGTAAAAAAAAATAAAAAAAATTAATTAAAAGGGCAAAAATGTGAAAGAACAATAAATTTATTGATAGAAAAGAAAAATAAATAAATAAAATATGCAATTGAAATTAACATAATTTTAATGTACTATATATTTGTTCAATGTTATGTTAAGATTAAAAAAATAATTTTATATAAAAATATAATAAAAACATTCTAAATATATTATAGGTATAATTTAGTTCGAAACCAAAATTTCAACTAAACTACGATATAGAATACAATTTCTACAGTTTTCAGTTTTTTTCATAGCAATTTAGTTTGAATTTGAACCCTTATTTGGAAGCATATTAAAAAATAACTTCACATAATTTACCTTACTGTCTTGTTCCTAAAACAAGATATATGTATTGTTTTCCCTAATTTAATTGTCATGGCAAATAATGGAGGCAATTAAACGTACTTCAATGAATGACTAATTATATCTATCATGAAAAGCAAAAGCAATGCAAATAAGAGTAAAGTTGTTAGTAAAAGTAACCTCCATAACAATATAAACCCTTGCTCATGCTCCTTAAATGTGCTATTTATATGTTGATGGCATTTCTTAATTGTTGCGAGTCTCAATTATTATCTCAAAAGTTCTGATATAACATACATCAAGCAAACACCAATAATACACTTATACCTTACTACATTTGGTATCATTACAATGTTCTATGGGCACAAACACAAGTTCAGTTCATCAAATCTTCAGAAATTCATGCCAGTTACCCACAAATATCAGTGGCATTCATTTGGCAACCGTTCCTATGTTTCTAGCTTCCACGGTAAGTGCTGAACGAAAACGGAGAAAGCAGGAGAGGAACATGAAAATGCTCCCTTTTCTGAGACTCCAGGATTTCAAACACAATAGACACATATGGAAAGAAACCACTTGGGTTGTACTTGCCTGTGTTAAAACTTATCCGGTATATCCCTGGACTCACATCATCAACTATGCTCAATAGTTGACCACTGCGGCCATCTTTATCTGTCATCGAAGACCCTTGAAGCACCCAACTGCCACCACCTGTGGCCCCGAATGTAGGACGAGACTGAGTGCCCCTCCATGCCTCCAAAAGTACCTCAATACCAGCAGCTGGACAGCCTCGCGAAACATCCAACACATGAGTGGTAATGGGCGGGCGGGTTCTAGCAGAATGTTGAATTGATTTTCCTGGTGAACTTTCTGCAGCAGCAGTCACATGACCTCCAATAATGTTCATACGATCTTCTAGCATTGGGAAAATTCAAAATCAAGATAGGTTACAGGTTATACACAAGGAAATATCATGATGCACAAATTGGAGAGTCTGAACAGAGAATTCATATCACATACATAAATAAACAATTGAAAGGAAGGACTATTTAATGGCAATCAATAGCACACCATATACCTTCTGTAATTTCCCAAGGAGTTTTATTCAGAAAGTGGTAAGTCACAACTTACAAGGAGACTATAATGTTGGAAATAATTACTAGAAAAATAATATGTTGCATGCATTATAAAGATGAAAAGGTTGTGAGTTGGTGTGAGTTAAGGATCACAATTCCTTTGTTAAGAACTATAATTCTTAGTTTATAACTATTTGACATTTAGCGACATAAAAAAGGCAATTATTTGAAACAAGTTAAGGGTTACTCTACCTCTAATAAATATAGTGGACTATATTCATGTATTATGTGTGCCAAATAATAAAATCCTTCCCCTTTCTATAATAGGGTCATGCAATAATCAATCATTTCCTACATTTCAAAACAGTTCACAATGAGGATCAATGAGAAACACACTGTAATCATTTATAGTTTACTCTTGATTGCCACATTAAATAGCTGAGGTGTAGGATTTAGGGTTCCTTTCAACTGGAGGAGCATTGAGGACTAAGGAAGAATGTGTCCCACTTGTCAAAACAACATGCCTTTGCTAAGCAGTGCAAGGAAAACAGCCCAGGTTCAATCATGAGATGGCACATAGCAATTGGTGGAAGGGAATTTGCATGATTTTAGAGTATAACAAAAAAACTGCAAATTTCTTTTTGCATAGCACAGAAGCCAATTATATCTGGAGTAGAGTTTTCACGTGCTTTCTGAATCTTGATGGTCCCCAAAGCTTGGAAAAGTTATTTTATTTTTAAATGCGCTTACAAGCTTTGGAAGGAGTAAGACTAAGGAGGGGATTTCCATTCTATGGTATGTTTGGTTGGATAGAAATGGGTCTGATTTTCATAAGGAAATTTTGGTCTTGACACACAACATTCTGGGACAGACTTATTTTTCTATATCAATATAGTGCTTGGCATTGGAATTTCTTGATTTTTACAGAGAACCACCTTACACCTTAGATCCTCCTATCCCTTTGTATGAAACCGGATCTTTTCCGGTTTGCACAAAAACAAGATCGTTCAATTCCATTTTCACTTAAACGAATTCTTCCCTACTCGCTTAAGCAAGAAAAATATTTGCTTAAGCGAATATGATTAGCTTACACAAATCTAAACCTTGCCTAAGTGGGAAGACATTGGCATAAAAGGCAGTCACTTAAGCAAATTTCATCTTGCTTAAGCGAATATTAATAACCTTAAATTAAATTGGAACAAAGAGCAGAGATTAAGATAGAGGTGATCACTTGAGCAAGCCTTAAGTGAATTAAAACTCACCTAAGCAATTATTAAACAGCTTAAGTGAATTATGAACATAGAGCAAACTTTACTGGATACAAAAGTTGACTTAAGTGAATTATGCAAAAAAAACTAAAACTAGTACAAAATCTAACAATTGAAACATGGTTAGACAAACTTACAATTAAAAGACTTGCTAAAAGACATTGTTAATATTTGTGGTCTTGTAGGTTTTCCCTCAAAGTCAAAACATTAGACATTTTTAATATACAATTAGTCATTGAAATAAGGAAATAAAGTGTAATAAGGAAATAAAGTGTCAATAAGGAAACAATTCCTAAGATTACTCCAATAGATAATATACATTGCTAAAAGACATTGTTAATACACAATAAAACCTAAAAACACATTACAAAATTAAAGGAAATAATGTGGAGCCTAAATGAAAGTGATTACATAATTAACGAAATAAAGTAGTAATTAAGGAAATAAATTGAAGTGCTCCAATGTGCCCTTCAAGTCCCCCCCAATGAGTATATTTGCCACAAACTCCTCCTCCATGTGTTGTCCTTCGTTACTAACATTACTGTCATTGTGCTGATCCTCTAGTCCTTCTCTCTGTCCTGTGCATTCTTGCCACCATCATGTTGATCTTCTAGTCCTTCTCCTTGTCTTGCTTCATCCACATTTTGGTCCTCCTCATTTGGGAAACTAGGACTGTCTCCAGGCCATGAGACGTGTGTTGCAAACTTTGTTGGTGTAGGCCATGGGAAAGGGGAAGACTCTTCATGATGTTGGTGTAATGTAAACTTGTAAAATGAATCATTGAGTTGGGTGTACGCTCGATGATTGGCCGCCATTTGCTGTTGTAGGTGAATGAGATATCGTGTTAGGCGAGACTCCATGGGTGTCATGTCAGGCATGGATGCTAGGGCTGGTGGTGGTGCTGATGAGGACAGATGAGAAGAAGCTGCACTAGGCTGCTCCAATGAGTTGATGCAGTAATTCTTGATGAAATGGGCATTAATGGGCATCTTCAATTTGATAGTAGATTGAGAAGCGTTCGGAATCTGAACACCTTGGGCAACACAAAGAGCAGTGATCAGAACTGGGAATCCCAATGGTTTTGTGGCTGCTACAGAAGTAGAAGGGTTGGAGATGACAAATTGATGAATTTCCTCTGAAATGACACTAGCAATGTCTACTGTTATGTTCTCCATGATGCTATAAATCAAATATGCTCAAGACATTCGCACATCAGAGGTGTGAGTAGTTGGAGCAATGTTGGCAAACAAAAAAGAAGTCCAAATCTGAGCTAATGTCTTCAAACTTTGCCTCTTGAACCTCATGGGCTTCCCATGAGCATTTGTTTCATACGATTTGTTAGGAATGCATAAGGTCTCAGCTATGGTGCCATCCAAAAATATTGTTGTCTGCCTTTTGTTTTGTTGGTATTGGCACAACTCTCCTTCTTGTAAGGTCAAGGGGTTACCTAGCAAGGCATTTATAGCATTCCTGTCATAACACACCTCCACCTTTCGAACCCATGACCTTTTATCCTTTTTCTGTATATCCAATGGCCATGCATTGGCATAAAACTCCTTGACAATGTCTTTACTAATATGATTTGGAAGATTTGCCAAAAAGTGCCATTTCCTTCTATTTATCTCCTCTTGAAATTCTACATATTCTCCTTCACCTAATTGGACATTACGCTCTGGTAACAATTCCCTTAGTTGCAATTCTAAGAACCTTTGATATTTGGCTTTAGTCTTGAACTTAAATCGATCCCATGAAGGTAGGGGAGTGTCTATGGTGGGTGTTGGTGGTGCTTGTTGCTGAGTATGTCTTTCCTCAAGTTCTTGTGAACTTTGCCCCGATTCAAGTTTCTGTTTTTCCTATGAGGGATTAATTTCCTAGGAGTCATTCCTGCAACAACCACAACAATGGAAATTGCATGATTAACAAAGGCATTACCATTGAATATCTCACGAAAGGATGCACGAAGAATTCTGAGCATGTGACATTCTGACAAATTCGCTTTTAGAGGCACTTGAGCAATAAATTAGCTTAAGCAACACATATTCGCTTAAGCAAATTTATGGCATAAAGCAATGATTTGTTAGGGACATCAACTTCACTTAAGCAAATTAATTTTGTCTTAAACGAATTTGATTCTAATAACCTATTGAAGTGATAAAATTCACTTAAGTGATTTTATCACCTTAAGAGTATGAGTTATTGAAGACAAATGTTACAGTGAGTTAACTTGAGCATGATTCCTGCCATAAGTTAGCATTGTTGTGATATGAGGTGTCTCCAATATTAATGCAAATGGACAAAGTTTACACACATGTTGTGTTTAACTTATTCCAATAAGAGTTTGTTTTCTTCTTTATTCGAATACGTCATTACTACAATCAACTAAGAAAGATCATGGAGTGTATCACTTGATCATGTCTCAACTTCTATATCTTGCAGCTTTAATTTATTCTCAAGCATTGAAAGTGTTTAAAGCAAATGATATGAATGTTATTCTTGAAAAATATATACTAAAGAAATGGACAAGAGAAGATCGTTGTGGCATTATATATAATATAAAAGGAATAGAGGTTGAGAGGGATCTTAGACATTCTTGCATATGACGATTCCAACAACTAGCATATCAAATGATTAGTCTGGCATCCGAGGTATCTACTTTTGAATAGTATTGTCAACTACTAGATGAAAGTATAACACTATATGTCAAAAATCACAAAGCTTTGATTATAAGCAAAAACGTATTGATAAGCACAGCAATGATGTCTCTACATTGGTGACATGCCAAAAGGGAAAAGAAAACTTCAATTAGAAGTCAAGCATCTCAAGTACATATATGTATGCATATAGCAATAAACAAATCAATTTTTACTTCTTTATTATAACCATATGTCAATTTTTGGTGATATGTCCACTTAGCTATCCTTTAAAGTTAAAATCATCAAATTACCTAGCATGGTACAAATCGGTTCACATCCTTGTCAGTTTCTCATGACCTTACAAGATATGTCGCTGATGATATGTCATGCCACTATCATTGAAGGCGATTCTACCACTTTGAATCCATCTTACACATTCTGTATTCTTTAGGACAAACTCCTCTATATTGCTCTATCAAGATCTTGTGATATTGAAGCTCAAGTTGTCATGACCTTGGTCGATACCTCGTGATGCTTGGCTCCTTCTTCAGTGAGCCTTCTCCAATCACTCTTCACTCTGGAGTAAGGAGTGACTTAACTCTATTTCCAAAGGATTGGACTTTGTCGCCATCTACCTACAAACTATCCAGTTCATAGTTCACAAGCTTTTGCTGATTGGTCACCCTTTGGATGCTATTTTGATCTTGTCATCCACACACTTAATGGATTCAGACCTTCATATTTTGAATTCATTGCCTCCATTCAAACCTGTGACAATCCCATTGCATTTAATGAACTATATGTTAAACTAATTAACTTTGATATGTTCCTTCAAAGAGAAGAACGTCTACAATACTCTAGACATGTGACTGCCAATTTTGCTCAATGCCACCCTTCACAATGGAGCAAACATCCTCAAAATCATTCATCTAACTCCCCTCATTCTGGTGGACGTCAAAACAATGGGTCTATCATTTGCCAAAGTCTACAAATAAGAGGGGTCATAGTGCCTTACAGTGCTATAAGCTCACCAAAAACTTGTGAAAAAGCAACCACTCTGCCAATGTTGTTCAGACTATTGTCCCACCTCTAGAATGACTTTTTGATTTGGGTGCCTCAAACTGCTTTACAAATGACTTAAGCAATCTTCCCCTCAAATCTAAATATGATAGCTCAGACCAATTGCATGTTGCAAATGGTACACGCCTTTCCATAACCCATCAAGGTTCTGGTATTATTTCCTCATCTAAGAAACTGATAGGTACTGAACAAGAATAGATTTCTTTATTGGATCTTCTCTGAACAAGAGACGAGAATAGGAAACTGTACAACACCTTCCTACTGGAATTTCGAGAGTTCCAGCCTCTACCTCCAATCTCTGATTTCTCCAAAAAATCCCTTCCCTCTTTCTAACTAACTATTTATAGAGCATGAATCAAAATACAGTTATAACTAATACAGTTATGATTGACAATTCAAATCCTCTACAGCTGTCCTATTCTTACACTTCCTCTAATAAACTTTCATTAAAGGTGGCATATGCTTAGTAATACCCGGCGCCAAAAGCTTCACCTTGTCCTCAAGGTGGAAGGAAGGAAATGCCTCTTGCATCCTAGCTGCAGATTCCCAACTATTCTCACAAGAAGGAAGCCCTTGCCATTGTATCAAAACTTCCACATCACCCATAGTGGATTCTCTAAACTCCAAAACTGCTTGTGGGCAAACCCGCAATTCCTGATCTTCCGACAACATTTCTGGAGTGGCTGTGTTTGAACTAACGGACCCACCATTTTTTTTAACCATGAAACATGAAACACAGGATGAATCCTGCTAGTTTCTGTTTCACAATTATGCTAGTTTAATAATGTTTTTATTGAATATTTTCCATGGCATTTTGAGGTAAAGAACTTGAGCACAAGAGTGGTTTTGCTGTGCGGTTTGAATAAAGACAATGTGTACAAGTTCTCTCCTTAGTCATTTTCAACTCAAAAATCTTCCATCCACCTATGACATCATAGACTTGGTCACATGTCCTCTCGTGTCTTCATCAAGCTCTCAAGACTAATTACATATGCTTTCTTGATTCTCCAAATAAATGCTCTCACTGTCTAGCTAATCAATATTGACTTAAGCAAATATTTTTCTCGCTAAGGCGCATAGGTAAGAATTCTCTTAAGAAAATTTAGATTTGGTTAAGTGAACATAAAATTGAACAATCATGTTCCCTTTGTAGTTTGTACCCTTTCCCATATAAATAAAATTTCATTTTTTATCAATAGGCAAAAGTAACTATGCATTGAAACAAAATCTAAGAGAATGGACAATAGATTCACCACATATCCAAAACTTTGTGTTAAATAAATTAACACACAAATAGACAAATGATGCCCCCACGTGAACACACTTTTCAGTGCTCACTTCACAGTTTCTACTTACTAAAATTTCATAGGTAAATATTATTCCACTCTAACACCAATTTAGTTCATCAGAAGTACTATTCATAATTATATATTGCATGGTATACCATGCCTCTTTTTTCTTTGTCAACAATCAACTCTCTCAAAACCTTAAGCTGCTAGGTAAAAGACTCAAATGTGGTTTTATATATAACATGCCTTCTCATGGTAGGAAAACAAAATCAAGCTAAACCAATTTCAGAAAACAGCGCATCAAGTATTAGCAAACATAACTGAAGGAGAAAGAAAAAGCCTGACTATTTAAACTGGTAAAAGGGCACAGGCAAGTTGGACTACAGCGGAGTAATGCTGTGAAATAAACAATGCCCATAGGACAGCAAGCATAATTCAAGCATACAAATTTTGTTTTTCCATGGTAAAACTTAATAACTTATGGAAAAAAAATAGAAAGTGTAAATTTTATAAAACCTGTTAAATTTGGACTTTTGAGGCACTTACAAAGGACTCTTGATTTCCTGAAATTAATTATGCACCTTACAATGGGATTTATTCACATTGCCTTTTCTATCCTCTATTTGATTCATACAGTTAATGACACATGGCAATCACATGATTCTAACAATTAGTTAACATTAATTATTTGAATCTAAGATTTACCTATTAACTCACAACTTTTGATACGCAGAACGAATGGATGAAAAACTCTTCTTTTTTTTCTCCTGCTACTTCTAGCAAAAAATTTATGACTCATGATGGTTGATTCTAAATGGCCGATGATCTGCTACATTTTAATAAATACAACTACAGGCAGAACCAAAATTCAATAGTAAAAGGGTTGTCAAGGAAACAATTAGAACACCAAGCTATATCTTGCCAAAACAGATTAAAATTTGAAAAGATGTTCTTAAACTTAATCACTAACCAAACATAAAACATAACAAAGAGTATCAAAGTACCTTCTGCTTTTTTAGAAGTGGAATGCTTATCAGCTGTAGAAGAAATGTTTTCTCTATTTGAAAAGAGCTTTGCAAGGCGCAGTTCTGTAATTTTCATTTGCTCCTGAGCAGCAATCTCAAATTCAACAATTGGCCTGTTATTATAACGTCTCTGCAGAGTGTAAAATAAATTAATTTAAATTCAAATGAAAAGAAATATATGACCATTTTACTGTATCACTCAAATTCTTTTATTGGTGAAAAATTCAAAATATTGAGTTCCTGAATTTAGTAGAAACTTTTAATGGTTCAATCATGCATATACAAGAGATGATAAAGGAGATGAAAAGCCTCTGAGAAACGAATATTCTCCAACCTAACATATTTCAAAACTTGATAACATAACAACCATTCCCCCAAGTAACCAGCAACCTGGAAGAGCATATTCATGAGAAATAGACTTCCAGGAACTTGCTGAATTTTAACAGTGATTAGGTTGCCAATGCCTGCATTGAGTCATATTTAACATGAATTAATTGGTGATATTATGAAATAGTCTTTTAAAAATTGCATTAGTCTATATTGACCAAACCAATGTCAAATCAATCACCATGAAAAGTTCCCCAAATTACTGCGCATGGGTGGGTATTTCAAATCCCAAAATGACACACATTTTGTCATTTGAATATTAAATCTAGAAAAAAAAATCATCACACTCACAAGCTCAACCTTCTAAAAATAATAAACAATTCATTTCTCTATCTTTCAATAAGAAACAAATGCATATTCGTAATATAATAGCTCCACAGAAATTTGCCCGTGTAGACATTAGATGAACAATAAAAATAAAATAAATAAACACAAATATTGCCATAACTAAACTTTAAAGTCAAAAATACCTTCAGTTCAGCAAGTATCTCATCAGTGGTTCTCCCAGATGCACATATGAGAAACACAAACCCAAACTTTTCCCTATACCGAGCATTCCATTCAGACATTTCCTGCATAGTGGACCACATCTAGATGACTAACTTTCATTTACCAACAGTTAACATAACAGCTGAAGCTCGAAGCTCTTTCTCCACAATAATATTAATAATAATAATAAAAACAATAGCAAACCGTGATGCAGGTCCAGCCAATGAAGGATGCAACAATGAAACCAAATGAAATATTTGGCAAGAAACATAACTCTCTACAAGGTGTTTGTCAATTTCAATATTCAAACAATTTTCTCAGATATTCTGACAGAAGAGCCAGAAATCAATCAGTTTCAGAGTATTTCATAGCACAGGAAACAACACAAAAGTATAAGCAGTTATTTTTGTAGTAGCAGTGGCAACTAAACCTGTAAGGTGGAATCAGTAGCAGTCGCTAAAGCAGTTGATTGCTCTCCCTTACTCCACCTGCAAAAAGCAGTCCCTCAGACAAATCATTACTCAAGTCTTTCATTTCAGTGTATGCTTGAGATCAAATTTTAAAGAAAAATGAGGGGACAGATAATTTTTTTTATTTCAAGTAAATATTCTCAAAATAAAATAATAAATTACCATAAATTTAATGTATACAAATATTATATAACTTTCTTAATTTAAAAATAAAATATTGATCTTTATTTTCTTTTTTCTTTCAAAATTCAATTTTTCAAACTTACCCTTAATTTAAAAAAGAAAAAGCAGCCCAGATTTTTAAAATCGGGAACAAACTCGAATACTATCTTAAAACTCCAAATGAAGACACAAACTGACACCCATCAAGGGAAAGACACAACATTTGCATTCAAAACTGAAACTTTCATTTATTTTTGACATGAAAGAAAATGAAAAAAGGAAAGTGACCCAGATGAGGAAAAGAGGTAAATTTTGGGACTGAACTGAGCACTGGTTTGAGAGGCATGAGAGGGAGAATGGGTTTGACCGATCTGAGGGTGAGCAGAGAAGGCTTGAAGCCAAGCGTTGACATCAACGTGGTTGAACCAAACGTCTCTGGCAACAGAAACAGCGTGATCAAAGGAAGAGAAAGGAGAGGCTGAAGCCATGTGGTTGACGAATCTTGTGCTTCCACAGCATGAGAGAAAGTCCTTTTCCTCAAAACCAAACTCCATTATTCTTCAAATCACTATGTTCTCCTTTGTTGTGTTTGGACGATTGAATTGCAATTGCAAGAAGAGAAGAGAAGAGAAGAGGGTGTGTGAGATGCTAGTGGTAGTACCTCGCAAGACAAACAAAATGCCACGTTAAAAGGTTGCTTCGGCCAGCTTAAGATTGTTTGGACGGAGCCGAAGCGGCAGTGACCCAAATTCTATTTTATATTTAGATATTTTTTTAATAACCGTCCGGCGATAAGCCTACCCCATTTAATAATTCTTTTAAATAAAATTAATCAATAAAATTATTAGTTTAAAAATGAAATTAATTTTATAAAATTTTAAAAAATATATAATATTAAAAAATATTTAATCGTATTATTAAATTTTAGACAATATACTTGCATATATAAAATTTAATATGTATATTTATAAAATAATTTATGAATAAATTGATCAATTTTTCTTTTAATAAAAAATTAATAAATAATATAAATTTTTAATATCAATGAATTTTTATTTTTTCAATGTGTATTTGAAAATATATAATTAATAAATAATAGATAGTCTTTCATTTGGTTTAAACTAAAAGTGTACACTTGAATAATTACTTATTTAATAATTTTTTTAAAATAATAATTTGTCAACAATTTAATATAAAATGTATTAAAATAATTTAAAAATAATTTATTTAATATTAAAATGATTATTAAAATAAATTAAAAATAATCTATAAAATCGTAAATTATTATAAACTCTTGTATATAGATGACAAAATCCTTTCATTTAGTTAAAAGGGCTGTGGAGAAATCACTTAGCAATGCAGCGGATTTTGCCTGTAATTAACAGTTAGTCTCAACCTTGACCTTTGCACACACACACCACAAACTCTCATCACATGTCAAATAAATACTTAAATAAATTATTTATCTTCCCCTCACTGGAATATGAGATGATATGTGTTTGAGAAGATATACCTGTTATTTATTGAAACAAGATGAACTATCCCTGTTTTAGCCACCAATTGCTCTCTTTATAATTTGTATTGTATAGCTCAACGCTACAAGAAAAAGGGCACTTCAAATAAATCAACTTAAAATTAAAAATAACGTTGCACCAATTATAGCATCAATAGTAAAGGTGAAATGCCACACATTTTTTTTTTATTAGTTAAAATTTATTTAAAACTAAAAAATATAAAAAAACATTAATTTATAAGTAAAAAAAACAAAGTAAAACTCATTATTTTTTTGTAGTTTTCAATATATTTTAACTAATAGTAGAGAATATATTACAGAGTATGTGTTAACAAGTGTGTTATTAATATTATTCATAATAATATAGGTGCTTTAATACGGAAATTTTTTCTTATAATTATAAATAGTCTCATCTTTTTATATATTTTTAATTATTAACTAAAATTTATTAAAAATTATAAAAATCAGTAAATATTACTCTTAATTTAATAATTTTTTGTTGTATTTGTGTAGTTTTAATAAATGTTAGTTAATAATTGAAACAGCCTTGCTCACAACATCCTTGTCCAAAGAGCAACTTGAGGTTTAATTACGATGGACACCCCTACAGGTTACAAAAAAAATGTTGTTTAAATCAAGAAAATTTAGAAAGGTTCCTTAAATTTTCAAACTGGGCTTGTGGGAAGGAATCTCTATCTGGAAATTGTGTAAGGAAATGGAAGTAAGTAAAATACAAACTATGAATTCTACAAATCTATGGAAAGAGAGAGTTGGATTTGATCAACATACAAAGAAGGATTGTAACATATCTTGCAAATAATAGAAGTGCAGAAAGGATAGGTGATGTGGAGATGATATCCTGTATTATTTGTAGTGAAAGCAACAACAGTAAGAATGGTTTCTACTTTCAACTTGTAGATCGAAGTGAAGATTCTATTAGTATTAGTGTATTACATGGTAGCTTTGGTTAGAAATTACAAATCATTTAAGTATATATAATGGTTATTATTTAGATGTGTACTTCAGATTAGATGTGTTAATGAAATCAAACATATTACAATATCTAAAAAGGTTATTATTTATATTTCATTATACACCTTTCAACATCATTATGCAATAAAAGTGATACAATAAAAACTTTATTATTTTCTACATTTTCACTTTATGCAGAATGATATGAGCCCCATGTTGTGGCTGAAGGGTAATTACTTGAGCTGGAGCATGAGTATAGGCTGGAGAAAGTTCAAATGAAAAATGTTGTAAAATCATTGCTAAAGCCAACTTTGCTTCCACCAAGGCAAAGTTTTGTCCAATGCAAATTCTAGGACCCCATCCAAATGGGAAAAATGAAGCTTTGCCATTTGTTGCTTTCAAAATCCCTTCAGAAAATCTCTCAGGATTAAACACCTTAGCATCATCACCCCAAAGTTCACGATCATGGTGAACTAAGATTATTGGTAAGTAAAGATGCACTCCAGCAGGTAGTGTAATGCTTCCAAGGTTCATATCTTTTGGAACAATTCGAGCTAGCCCTTCTACTGGTGGGTATAACCTAAGAACCTCATACAAAATCATGGTGACCTGTAACAATATTAATCATAATAAGTATGAAAGGTGTACTTTTGAATATAAGATAATGATACAATAAAAAAATTCTAGTAATACACTCTCTAACACACCCTTTATTATTGACTAAAATTTATTAGAAAATTACAACTTGTAGTTTAATGATTTTCAGTTATACAGTTGTGGTTTTCAATAAATTTCAACTAATAACAGAAAGTGTGTTCTTAACACTCTTGATAATACAATACTTACAATCTTAAGTTGGCTTAGCCCATCAAAATCTGCCTTTTTGTTGCCAAAGACTTGAAACACTTCTTCCCTCGCACGTGCTTGCCAATCAGAGTACCTACTTAATAACACCATTGCCCAAACAAGCAAAACTGAAGTGGTCTCTTGTCCTGCAAAATAGAATAGCTTGCATTCCTCGATTACATCATGAAGATTCATTCCAACATTCTTATTGTTTTCATGTTCTTGAATTTCCTTGTGATTTGACTCTAAAAGCACACTTAGTAAGTCATTCTTAGTAGCTCCCTCTGCCTTTAGTGCTTCCTCTTTCTTGTTAATAATAAACTTGAGTGAAGCTCTGATATCTCTATCAATTTCCTTCATCCTCCTATTTATAGCAGTAGGTAGAAACCTACAAAAGTAAGGATAATTAGTCCTGTACTTGTCCATGATTCTAAGGGAATCTCTTTCCCATATTAATATCCTTCCAGTGGTTATTGTGTCAATGGGAAACATAATATGATTTTCCAATAGCTATACTTTTCTGTTTCAATTTGTAATTGAGATGGTACATATCATTTTCTCCTCACAATAACTAGTAAATGTATAGGAACTGAAAATAACATAGACTCCTAATGCTATTGCTTGATGTTGCTGGCTAATAGTTTAATTAGGAATGACATTCTTGTCCTGTTCAAGTTGCAATTGATCGATACCACATATTTCCATCACAATATCTAGTAAACTGGTTGTTGTATAAAATAAGTTTATTCCTTTTTGGGTCTTTAATTGTCTATTTCTAGGCATGGCTAACTATGTGATCAATTGGTAGATGATTCCTCTAGCTTAATCAAGTCCCTAAAGTTCCAGAAATATGGTAAAAATTAAGAGGAAGAGTTTTGACACCCATAATGATTCTACTTGAGGGAACCCAAATGTCTAATTGGTGTATAAATATTGGTGTCTTAAACCAAAAAGAAAGAAAGAAAAAGAATCCTTGAGCCAAGGTGGGGATTAGTAAAACTTTCCTTTGAATGATAATAAAGTCCAATTTGGATAAACTTCTCAATAAATACTCGTAGGAGTAAAACTCTATGTAGTAAAATAATCAAACTCCTTACATAAGTTAAAATCAATTTATGTTTCTCTAGTTTTTTACAAGGTTTTTTATTTAACTTCTTTAAAATTCAAAAAGATAAATTGTTTCTAACTTATGTGAGAAATTTTATTTATATTTTATTCTAATTCTTTATTATGAGGAATTTTCTATAAGTTTACCCAAAGTGGGCCTAACTCTAGATTCAAACTCTAACATTACTGCTTATGTTCTTTTGGGATCATAGATCACTTTTACCATGATTAAGTAGTATTGATTTTTATTAAAAAATAATTTGCTACTTGTTTCTTCCAAAATGAAATATATGGTAAAGTTTTACATCAAACTTAAGTTTGATCTTGCAGATCTATCATGTGGCTAGATTTACATATTACACTTACCTCCACCCAGGGATGTAAACTTTCTTCATAGCTTCTGCTGAAAGTTCAACTTGCTCTTTTTGAAGTTGAAATATTCTCTGTCCTTCTTCATAACTACTTCCAAATGCGGTTCGAGAAATCACATCACTAGTCATGTTTTGAAGGAAAGGCCACACATCTATTTCACATGATCCATTTAAAGACAACATGCTCTCCCATTTGCTTATCAAATCATTACAACTTTGGGAGAATAATGGTAACATATTCTGTGGTGTGATAAAAAAAGGGTGTTAAAATTTCTAATGTTTATTTATAAGATCTATATCTAGTAATCCACCAACTAACCTTTAATTTTTCTAAAGTGAATGCATGGTTGATTATCCTTCTGTGCTTGGTCCACTTTTCTCCCTCATAGTGGACAAGACCAGTAACTAGTAATTTAACAACTGGATTCAAATCAGGCTTTGGGAAGTCATAAATCTTGTTAAGTACATCTTTGATTAGGTCAGGATCTGCAAGGGTCACCCTAGGTGTTGGTCCAAACCAAATAAAAGAACTTTTGCCTACATGCCATCAGCAACTTCATAAACAGACTTAAATTGAAGATAAAACAAAACAAAAATTGGGATTTGAATAGAAAAAGATAATCAATTTGAATTTTACATTATTCACAAACAACAGGAACCTTTAGGTCCAGCCTTGAAGAGTTTATACCTTCATTTAAGGATTTCTCCAATTTAAAACTTCAGCAAAAGAATCAAAATATATAGATAGTGCTGCCTCTGTGTTTATTTATCTATATAGAGAGAAAATATATATACAAACTAAGAAATATAATTATTTTTTAAAATTTATTTTTTAAGCATCCTAATTTATCTTTTATTACTGGGTTTGTTATTCTTGAACTATCAAATAGTACAAATAGTTTATCGAGTTTTTTAGTGTGTATAGTGGACACATGTTAAGAAGCATCAAATATGGTCTACTAAATGTTTTAAATAACCTTAAAGAGTATATATTGAATGCTATTTACGAATTTGAGATAATAAATATTTTTATTATTAATAAAAATATTTTTTAATTTTAAACATATGTCCTTGGCCACACATTAAAAAAAATTAATATTACTCCTAATTTTATTTATAAAAAATAAATACATAATTCACAAGACTAATAAAAAATAGTTATATGTTATAAATTTATATATAAAATAAAGATATTGGTGGAAAGTTGAGTTAACACAAATCTTATTATAAATAAGTGAATAACAATTAATACATTTAGAAATAGGTCTTTATATCTTATAATTAGGATTAAGAGATATTAATAGTTGTTTTTTATAAATAAAATTGGACATAATATTTTATCCGGAGACAAGTGTTTCGGTGAAAGAATCATAATTAATATTAACGCAGTTTAAGTGAATTTTTAGAGAAAAATTTATAAAAAAAATTAGTATAAAAAATAAATAAAATTTATCTTACAAGTTAAAAATTACTTATAATTTTCTAATTTTAAAAAAAATTTCTTATTTAAATTTTTTTAATTTTAAAGAAATAAGCTATTTTTAACTTTTAACATAATTTTTTATTTCTTATATTAATTTTTTCTGGTTTTAAGATTTTTCTGGAACTTTACCCAAATTGGGACATTGTTTTAAACTTTTACAGATAAATAAGAACAAATTTCTTCTTTTCCCTCGACTAAAAGTTAGAAACAGAGATAATATTTTTCAAGGAAATGATTTCACATAAAATTTTTCAGTGGTTATAATTACACACAATATATAAGGCTCCCCATTGATTTTGTAAAATTTCTGGGCATATATATTCAAATCGGCAGACACTAAATAAACATAACAATACACTGAATAGGGGAATTAAAAATAAAACCACTGTCTGGAAACTAGAAAATGGCATGAGTAAAGTCCAGGAACATGTGCACCAAAAAATATAGAACAAAGGTTAGAAATTGACAAAGTTAAAAAAAGAGTGTATAAGGAAAAATACAAAAATATACAATAAGAAAAATAAGATCCAAAGAGGCAAATAGATGACAATTGACAATAAGAAGAATGGTTAGCAAAGGCATACCATGTTTATTGACACTGTAATGGAGATAGGGAAACACAGAAAACACCAAATCATCATTGAGATTCATGGGTTTAGATCTAACTTCCTTTTCCATCTTCAGGGTATCCTTTAAATCCCCATCCAAAAGCCTATATGGATTGCCTTTGAGGCCTTGTTCTCTTAGGAGTCTTTCTAGCCTCTTAGGCCTTAGCCATAACCAGTTTAGCACCTTACATGCCCATGCTAGAGCAAATGCAAATGTGAAAACTATGCTTGCAGATGTGGCCCATGTTGTCTCCATTTGCTTATGGTGGAGCAAACTATGAACTATGTTTCAACTGATATGATGGCACTACTCTCCATGAACATTATTATATACAACAATTTGGATTAATGGCCACAAGAAATTTCATCAACGAATGTATTTAATGCAGTTAAATTTTTCCTTCGATACTATGAATACTTTTCAATTTGAATTTAAAAAAACTTGATTTAATTTCTATATTGTTAAAATAACATTACTAGATGCACGCAATAAACTAATTAATAAATTTAATAAGTAAATTTAAATTTTGAAAATATTATTATTAAATAATATATATATATATATATATATATATTATTTTAAAGGAATTTTTATTTAATTAATTATATTAAGAAAGTAAACATTTTAATTTTTCTTGTTTGAAAATTCTTCTAAAGTTGGATCATTATATTGATTGTTTCTAAATATTTATCCGTTCACTTAATTATTTGACAATTGTACTTAAATAATAAAGAAAGTTTTATTACTTGTTTAATGTTTTTGTCGAGTATGTGAATTAATATTATTATAAATAATAAACAATATAAATTACATATGATGCAAAAAAATTTAACTCAAACAGTGGCTGCAGTTATAATACAACAAAATTGTTTATATTAATATTATTTTTATATTATTAATCAATTAGTAGATATTATTTTTATATTAATTATTACAAAAATCAATTTTTCTTGCTAATATGTCAATTTGTGATTAAATAACATGCAATATAAAAATCTTAATGTATTTAGATTAAATTCATTATTTATTGAATCTAAATTAATACATGTCTGATACAATGAATGTAATTATATTTACCATATAATTAATACAATACCAAAAAATCAAATAAATATATACTTATTTGGGAATACAAATCAATGATAAAACTTTGGAAGAAAATTAAAAAAAAAAATATAATTATTCAAGTGAAATTAATTTATAAATTTTATAAACTTAATTACTTATTAAAAACTTTTAAACTAATGCTTAGATTATTGAAATTAAGCGTTTATAAAAAGTTATTAAAAAAAATAAGCTAACCAAAACTTACTCTCAAGATAAGTGGATCCATCCTATGGAGGATTTGGTTACTTTATTTTATTAAAAAATAAAGAGAATAATTTTAATGTATGATTAAAAAGTTTTACAGTGCTAATCGATTAAAATATATAGTAGGTGTAATATTTATGTTAATTATCAAATACATACTTATTTGGGAATGAAAATCTTAATGATATAATTTTGGAAGAAAATTAAAAAAATAGAACATATAATTATTTTAAGTGAAATTAATTTTTAAATTTTATAAACTTAATCTGTTAAAATATTTTAAATCAATGGTTAGATTATTAAAATTAAGTGTCTATAAAAAATTATTAAACAAAATAAGCCAACTAAGACTTATTATCAAGAAAAGTGGATCCATTATATGGAGCATTTGATTGCTTGATTTTATTATAAAATAAAGAATTTAATTTTAATACACTGTTAAAAAAATTTATATTAAATATAAAAAAGTCAAATATTATAACTTATAAAATTATTAATGACAATATAAAATAATTTTACACTATTAGTGTATTTTAATTATATTCTAAAATAATTTACATATACAAATCTAATATCTGCCTAAAATCTTAATAATCTATGAGGGATTCAATGAATAACAATAATAATATTGTTTCAAATAGGTAAAATTTAAATTATTTATTCTAATTTGTTGACTGCATCCGACTTATTTAGCTCAGTCAAATGCATAGTAATTAATATAGTATATTAGTATTTATATTCTGGTAATTTAAAAAATGTTTATTTTAATGTATTAATATAATAATAATATTTAATTTTACCAACGTATTCATGATCTAGTATAACTTTATTTTTTTAACGTTTCAAAAGCATTAGCTTAAAATTGAATATAAGCAGTTTACTAACCCGTGTAATGTAATTATATTTTATTTAGAATATATATATATATATATATATATAATTTAATAATTAAAGAATATTTTTTATATAACATAAAATTATTTTAAGTAATATTTTTTTTATAAAAATACATTTTATTTAATTTCATAATTATGAATAATATGCATCAATGATAAAATTTAATAAAATTAAATCATTTTAAAATATTGTTATCGTATAGTTTCAAAATATAATTTGACTAAATGTTAATAGTCAGTATATATTAAAAACAATAAATATAAGAGATAAGACTCTTAAAAATAATTTTTAAATTTAAAAAATAAAAAAAATAATGATATTTTTTATAAATATAAAACTAAATATTTACAATATATATATATATATATATAAGGTAATAAGATAAAGTTAAACTTTAATTTCTAAAATTTAAAATAAAATTAATAAAAATGTAAGTACAAAGTAAAACTATTGTAACGCGAGAGAGTAAAATTTACACAAAATTTTTAATTAATTTTAATATTAAAATATAACAAATTGTGAAAGAGAATAACTTTATTAATATTTTATTTTCTAAATAATTGACTGATTGTTTATAATGTAGAGGTTAATTAATTTTGAGTTATTAATGTAATTGAGAAATATATAAATTAGCCTAAATTACAATTTTTTTTAATTAAAATGTGTATTTTTTTAATTAAATTTATAACTTTAGAATAAACAAGTAAAAAAATCCCTGCTAAACTTCTATTATTATTATTATTATTATTATTATTATTATTATTATTATTATTATTATTCAATTGTTCTTTTAAATTAATATATTTTCATGAATTAGTATTTGTTATGCCTAATATATATTTACGAAGATGAGAATTTACTTACTCTCAAAATAAGTTTATTTTATTTAATTTGTAAAATCATCGTCCCTCTTAATTATATTTCATAAAAAAAAAAATCCATATACATCTTTTCTTTTTGCTTTTATTTATTTATTTTGTAAATAGGTGTTTTGTCATTACAGCTAGGTGTGTTGTATAAAAAGATTGAAATCCACACTGTGATAAGTTTTCAATTTCCATAATTCTCATTAGATATTGTGAATCTTAGGCCTAGCAATCAGCACAACCTTAAGATAAGATGAAGGAAGGGAAGGTTTGGTGCTCATTAAGCAGCAAATGTTATGCTTTATTTAATAGTTATCCATGGTAAGGTCTTCCACACTAGATAAGTAATCACCACGATTCTTCTGGCATTTTTACAATTACACAGAAATGAATGAAGACAACAACATCCAAGTGAGATTGCTAATTAGAATTGCCTTCAATTTATATATGTTTTAATACTCTTTGGTTATCTTTGCCCTCTCAATTATGAAATTTCCTTCCTTGAACCTTTCTCTTGCCTCATAAGCTTGAATATACTTCCAACCCAATTCCTCACCACATTTGCTACAAAAGATGCCAGCAACACTATACACACCAGTTATCAAACTTCTATCTTGCTTTGGCCCCAAAATGATGTTCCTTGCATGAGAGAACATAAAGGCTGGCCCAGTTTTTGCCTGAATAATCAAAGATGAACACAACAGGGATGGAGCTAGATATTTTCATGGGGCCAAATACAAAGAAAACTTTTGAACCAATTCAACAGAAAGAATAGTATATGTTCAAAATTGAAGGAAAATAGTTATTACATTCTAAAATATACTCAACATAAATGGTAGCATTTTCACACTACAAAATTAAAGATGTATAAAACCCACATATAATATAGTTAACTTTTTTTCCTTGTAGCAAAAAGACAGCATTTTATTGAAAAATGAGAATAAAAAAGGGAGCTGCTGAGGAGTTTGACTGTATTTTTGGGAAAGAAAAACAGAGGGAAAAAAAGGAAAGAGTTTAATGTTAGAAGCAGTTTAGTCTTCATTACAGTGCTGAAAATAAATCATCTACAAAGTTCAGAAGAGGAAATACTGATGAAGAGTTATAGGAAGAACGTGAGAAATCCAATTGGTTTCATCAACAATATTACCCGATAGCTTTTAGAGAGTAGTTCACTGCGGAAAGCAACAGGATTTTGGCAGCTTTTGCATCTGTATGTAGCAGATTGGTCGCCATAAATCGCCATTGAACTGAATCAAATCAAAATACTACTAAAGTTGAACAAAATCAGATGAGTTTTGTTCAATGTTTGAGCATATATATATATATATATGTATAAGAGGAGATGTGGTCAAATAGAGTGTTTAGACCAAACGAAATTGACAATTGAAAAGGACAATGGTAAGTGCCACGAAAGAGAATGCAAGACTTCTCATCTACTCCACTTGACAATCATTATCATAGGTGGGTATGTGAACCAGCTTATCCTGTACCACACCTTCCCCACTAAGCTACCCCTTTTTCTTAAGATTTGTATTGATATTTTAATGTCATTAATTTATAAAATAACTGTTTATAATAAGAAGTCTTCGTCTTTGTTACGAGTGTTTTATTATGTTTTACTTGTATTATTATAATACTGCTAAATATTCAATTTAATATATATATAATATAAAATAATTATCTCTGTCACCATAACTTTAAATTAAGATGGGTAACAATGTTATAATTAAAAAAAAAAATTACAAAATATAAAAAGGAGTGGAATATAGGCTTGAATGCTATCCTTTTTTTTCATAACATTTTCTTCTATTTTCAAAAATAGCAACAAGTTGTAATTTTTTTTTTATAGATATAATATATAAATTTCTCACCTAGATAAAAAAAAAAAAAAGGCCTAATTACTATTACTGTTTTGTATAGATATGATATATATAAAAGTTGAATCATATAACGTAATGAGGAACCCATTTAAAGATAAATTCTACTCCATTTTAGCTGTATTATGGTCAAAGACATTCATTTGATTTAATATAGTTAATATGGAATAAATAAATAGTTATCTTCTACGTTGGGAGATTTTTTTTAGGTACAATTCACTGTGCCATTTAAATTCAGGCATAAATAAAAAATTAATTATCACTTAATTATCAATTTCATCTTTTAATCAATCACTGAATTAGGGTTCATCTTTTATCACTTACTTCAATTTCATCTCCATCATAAATAAAAAATTAATTATCAATTTCATCTTTTGTCACTGTTAGTGAGCATTCTGAATTACTAAAATAAAATCACAAGTTCCTATTTTTACCAATAAGAATTGCATAAGCCAAGTGAAAAAAAACCAGACACGTAACCATAATAATGTCTGCATCACAAATAATCTTAGCAGTTATTATCCCGTGCTCTACATAGTTGTATATGGAAATTGTTTTTTGCATTATTTTTTTATTATATGCACAAATTTTTTATTTTTAGATTTAATTTTTTAAAGTCTGTTTAATATCTTTTAAAATTAAATTTTGGTTTAAACTTTAATTTTTTGAAATAATTTTGTACCTTTTCAAAAATTAAAATCTCTAAGTCATATGTAAATTCTTAAGAAATTTATTTTTAAAAAAATTATATTTCTTAAAATTTAAATTTCAAAAGTGATTATAATTTTTTTAATTTTTAAAATGTATTAGTAATTTTTTATGCAATGTTCGAGTATCGTTAAATTAAAGTAAATATTTTAATAAATAATTAAAAATATGTTATATGAATATTTTTAAATTAAATAAATTTTATGATTAATATGATAATTATCAACAATAAAATCTATCATATTAAAAAATTAAAAACATATAAAAAATAAAATTTAAAAATAAATACACGATGTAGACAAAATAACTTATATGATGAGAAAAAATTTAATCCTTTAAAACACTTTCATTTCAGAATATTCCTAAAAATGCTCTAGTTAAAGAATTAGTGTTTATAAATTATATATAGAGGTTAATATAACAAATAACAAAATGAATGATAAAAAAAGTAATCTCCGAGATATATTATACCTAACAATAAGCTAGTAAGAATGTAGTTTAAGTATATTGCATTTACATGAGGAATATAATTTGTTAAATAAATCAATCATATGAGTATTAATTTATAAATATAAATATTTTTCAGAGTTAAATTTATTTTTATTATGTCAAATAAATTTTTATATTCAATATTTAATTTTTGATTTAAATTTTAAACTTTTATAATTATTTTTTATTTTAAAAATTATTTCTTTATTTAATTTTATGTAAGATAATAGAATATTTATTAATAATAATTATAATATTTATTCTTTTTTAAATTTAAAATTTTATTAAATTTTAAAAAAATGATTAATATATTTTTTGAAATATTTATTTTAATTTAATAGTACCTATACAATGAAAAAAAAATCAGTATTTATTATTTAAGTTCTTATAAAAATCAGTTAAATTGTAAGTGTATTGTATACTACACATAATTGAGATTGAACAAGCCATAAGTTAATTGAGATAATTTTTTTATTTGATATTATTACTTAGATTTAGTTTACTTTCTACATGTATATTTACAAGTAATCAACTATCACAATTGAAATAGGCAAGTTTATTTTTTACCTTTATATGTCATAATTAATTAAGGTAAGTTTATTTTCTCATTTAATAGAGCATTATAAGTTTAATTTTACTCTTCACAAAATAAAGGTATTTTGTAATTATTTAGGTTCAATTTAAATAAGCTTGTGAATATATTTTTATAAAAGAAGAAAAACAATATAACAAATAAATAAAATTTATTATATAAACTAAAAATTATTAAAATTTTTAAGATTTTAAAAAGTTAAATAAGAGTAACTTTTAAAAAATAAAAAAATATAAATTTATTTTTTCTTCAGTTGAGTTGGGCTTAAAAGTCTAAAGAAACACAAAAGTCTCAATTACAAATTTAGGAAACCAAGAACTTAAAGAATACAGTCTTAAAAAAGGCACTAAGGAAGGAAGAGTCTCCTCAAAAAGTAGAATAGGTAATCCAAACTCAGGCCCAATTTTAGCCAGCTAATTAACATACTAGTTAGCTTGCCTTAAAACATGGCTGAACCTAATAAATTTAATCCCTTAAGTAATCTCCTAATTTTACTAATAACAAAAAAGTGAGGGTGATTACAATTTTGGAGGCTAGTAACTAAGGAGATTGCCTCTTTAGAATCACCCTTAATCCAAACAAGTTGGATCTTCCTGGAAATGACTAGATGAAGATCCAAGTACAACCCTAGAGCTCAATAGTCAAGGGAGAGCACATCCAAGGCTATGTGAAAACCAACAATAAACCTTCCATGACTGTCTTGAATGATACTTCCACAACTCGCAGTTCTAGCAGCATGGGAAATAGCTCTATCAACATTTAATTTCAGTTGTAAATTCAAAGGAGACTGCCGTTTAGTGAAGCTATCCACTCCCTGCCAACTAGTTCCTCTATCCTAATTTGACCTGTCATAGATAGAAAGATAATCAAACTTAGATTTAATTTTTTAAAGAAGAGACTCACTGTCAAAGGGAGAATTCTGAAAAATCTCCCTATTTCTGTTACTCTACAAATACCATACAGATAGACCAAATAAAAGCTTCTAGGAAGGATACAGAGGAGAATTGTCATTGGACAGGTTAAACTCGAGCCAACTGCTCAATCCTTTGCTGCAAAAAAAGAACCCAAATATTGGGAAGGACAAGTTGGTTCCAAATATTCCTAACAAAACAACAATCTCTAAGGGCATGCATTACTGATTCAACACTCATTCTACACTTGAAAAAGGTAGAATAATTAGTAATATCACGATTATATCTCTCATTATTAGTTAGGAGTGTACCATGAGCCACTTTCCACAAAAAAATATTAATTTTGGGAGGGTTTTTCTAATTTCACACCATTTAAATAGATTATAAATAAAAGCTTGGTTCTGGTCAAGGAAAGAAATAAGATTATAAGTAGATTTCATAGAAAAGGTTCTATTACTAGTGAGATTCCAATAAGATAAGTCATGTCCCCCTGTTAGGATAGGAGGATTAACTTGAGTGATTGAATCAGTTATGTGGTTAGGGAGGAGAGCCTTAATCCTAGCCCAGTCCCAGTGGCCATTATGAGCAAATAGAGCCATGATCTCCTCAAACTCACTGTCAAAAAATCAGGAAACTTGGAGAAATGTATAAGATTATTGATGTAACATATTTTAAGTTTATATTTATAGTTTTATTTTGATTTATAAACACTTTTTATATGCTTTATTTTTACATTTTTTTTATCATTTTCTAGTTATTTGAATAAATTGGATTTGTTACAAATAAATATTTTAATTTCGTATTTTTTGTTATTCTGACTTATGACTACTCTTTTATCCATAACTTTTTCTACAAATATATTTTTTGGTTGATTCTAGTTGCATTAGATTCTACACATCCAGGACTTCAAAATGCATATATCGATCGCTGTATTTGAAGTTATTTTTTATTATTTATCATTTTTTGAAGTTGAGACAGATTTGCTGAATATTATTGCAAAATTGCATTTGGACCCTTGTTATTTAATAATTGTATTTGGGCTTTTAGATATTTCTGAGGCCCAAATTTGGCCACTTAATTTACCCTAATCAGAACTTATAAATAGACTAATAAGGTTCTGAATTAGGGAGTTGCGATTAGACATTGAGTTTTTAAGATTTGGCCGAAATAAAAATTCTTGTTTTTACTTTCTCTCAAATTCTCTCATTTTCTTCTTATTTTCCCGTGGGTTAAGTGCTTTGATGAAAGGCTAATAATGATTAACTTTTCTGTGGTTAAAATTAAAATTAGGATTCGATTGATATTCTAATTTGATAATTAATTCAGGTTAGGTTCAATGATAATTTGATTTAATCTGTGATCTATTTCAATTAGATTATTCGATTGAATTAATAATTGAACTGGGTAAATGTTAAAACTCGAATTAAAATCTTTAGATACTGTGATAATCAGGGTCATATGCATTTGGTATTCTGTGGATTGATATTTCTTAATTTATTTTTAGTCAATTTTAATTTATTCGTAATTTGATTTATATAATTCGCAATTTTTAAACCCTCAAACCTTACTTTCATTCTTTTAAAAAATCTAAAATTGAATTTAATTGAAGATCTCAATGAATTGACTTAGGTTGAGCTCTTTATTACAAAATTCTTAGCGAAACTTAATTATTTTAATAGCAACTCGACATCAT